AGAACATTGAAAATATTTAAAAGTGAACTAAGCCTTTAAAGCATTCTATATTTCCTACACAGACACTTGTGAGTCACAATGAAATGTTCCAAATTATATTAATTAAGCTAATATGAAATGATGCTTCCCATTTGTTGACACAGCACAGCATTCCACATCCACAAGGGAAGCTGTTTCAAGCTGCTAATTACAGCAACTTTTGCAAAACCCATTTTGTCCAAAATTGCAGTGGCAGTATTTGGTGGATCCAATGTTAGTTTATATTTAATAAAAATCTAATTAAAAAGACATGTTTAAAATTATGTAGAGAAAAATAAATAAAAAAAATGCCATATTCTAATAAAGGTCATGTCACGTCTCCTTTCCTAATGTGCACAATAAGCCTACTACAGGCATGAGCAGTAAATCACAGCATGGAAAAAGGATTTGGTGGAAAGGATAATACCAGGGGCAGACTGAGAACTCATGGGCCCCCCCCGGGCAATAGGGGATCATGGGGCCCCTGTGTCCACACCCACACTCAAACCACACCCAAAAAAAACCTATGAAAGGTACTAGGGGCACCGCATGGGGCCCCCTACTGACCCTGGGCACTCGGGCAGTGCCCGAGTGCCCAAATGGTCAGTTTGCCCCTAGACAATACTACTTTATTTTACAGGAGTTAGGTTGGGATTTCTGGAAATATGCCTTATTAGCACCCCATAGATAAAACTTTGTACCACAAGTTCGTAATGTATCTTAAACCATGAATACAAATGTAATATATTGCAGGTTACCAATCTTTATAAGTAGTAGTTGCATTCATTTTCTATTTTTTTCATAATTGTCCTAATTTATATTAGTCTGCTGAGGCTACTAATACACTTCCTGTCCTAGGGTGGCAACTCTTATTTACTGTACAGTTTTATGTAGGAGCAATGCAGTCCCACTAGCTTTCCCTATTAATTTGGACCACAATCACTTACCCCTATCTCTATAACATAATGCATAGGTACATTGTAGTCCACAGAATAGACTTGGAAAGGCTGATAACATTGTATAAGATGTCAGTTCTGTATATACAAATGTACAAGCTGGGTTTCTGGCAGGTTCAACACATAATTTTGTACTTGCACTGCAACTTTTTTTTTTTTGCTTAATATTCAATCCTTTGTTAATTTATAACCTGTCACTACAATGTATGTCACATGCTGTTTTGCTTTTATATAAAATGTTTAAAAGTATAAAAAGTGTTTAAAGGCTAAGTTCACTTTTTAGAGTATATTACCCATTACACCCATATTTCGAGTGTAACATGTAACCTGCTTCACCACCTGCCCCCTGCACCCCCCAACCTCCCCCCCATGACAGTGGGTGGGGGTTCCTCTTCCCTGCACCTGCTGTCACATTTCAAAATTGGCATAATTCAATTACAGGAATCTGTGAATTAAAAAAACTAGTTCTACCACAGCAGATGGTTTGAGGTTTTCAATGAACTGCGAGGACGCTGATGAACATCCTCATAGTTTATTGACACTTCCTCCAGCTTTCAAACTGGCAGCCTGTTCAGAGGTATTGGCAAGAAAGCTGGAGGCAGTGTCTGCAGGAGCCTGAAATTGCACCTGCAATCACTGATTATGGGTGCAATGCTCTGCAGGTTTCTGTGAAAACAAATAATAAATGCACATTTTTTTCTGCAAAATTATGTGAATTTTTTTTTCAAAGGTGAACTTAGCCTTTCATTTAAAAAAATACACATATGAGGGGCATTCATCTTGTCACAAGCAGTACTGGAAATAGTGTATGCCAACATATATCCTAACAATCTGTTTTATCATGCTGTAATAACTCAACTTATTTTGACACGTTTTTGATGTGTTCACAATATGTTTCTTTCAAGAATATCCTGCTGCTCTTCAAACATGTCGTACTTCACTCATCTCATGCATCATGTTCTCAAATCTCACTCATAAGCCTTATCCATGGGTCATCAGACCTCCACATGTCTTCACCTCCACTGAACATTTTCAGGCAAAATGACTGCAGGATGCTCTGCTTACTATAGTGGTGGAAAGCTAATTTTCTTTTTTTATAAGAATTTAGGCCAACTGCTTTTTTCTTCCTTGTTTAAGACATTAATATATAAAGCATATATGCAAAGTATACTGTTTGATTGGACACACATACACACAAATATAAAACTTTATTTATCATCCTAGGTTCTGTGAGTGTCCTTACCTACTTGCCGCTACTTATATTTTTATGAGAAATCCAACACATTTTTAAGGATTATTATTCTATAGTATTCCATTTACCCAGCTCTACGAAATTGAAGAATCCTTATTAGCATCCAAAAAATACCTCCCAGACACAACATATGACATGACCTGGCAAAAAGATTTATATTGAAACACCAAACACAGTTTGAAGCACTGTTTGCATTTGTTACTTACATACTATCCCAGTTCACCAGCTATAGCTCTCTACAGTACATGATTAAACAAATTAAAATATAGTTTTTTAAAAAACTCAGTTCAACCATGTTAAATACCTTAACTTTTTGATTTGTAAACAAACTTAGGTATCTTTCAAACACCAACAGTTTAGTACTAATGAAACTTTAAAGAAGAATAAATATATCAGTTTTGTACCGTAATTAATCTATAACAGATCATACATCTTTAGTCCCATTGGAATCACCAGTGGCACATGTTGATATCTTCTTTTGCCTTTAAAATTTCCTTCTTTTACTGAACTTTTGGCATGTGCAATTCATCTTTGTCAAGGGTCCACGGGCCCACCCACACATTATTTCATGAGAACTATTTTATTACTTATACAGGACCTCACCATTGTACTGTATAAATATTTTTTTTTCCTATTAAAAAGCTATTAGACTTTTGGATTTTACTATTTAGTAAATTCCAAAGAAACTCCCCCTAAACATTTTGTACTTATCACACATTTGCATATACCTTTTATCTAATTCAAATAAGCCTGACTTTAGAATAATATGTATATTTTAATTTGTGAGAAGCAGGGGGGTTGGTCATTTTATTCTTTTCTTACATGGTGAATTTAGATTACCAGTACAGGTCACTTGATATGTATATCCAATCTGTAAATCCTAAATTTTAAATATAAAGTGCTAAATATTCCATTAAAAGTGCATAGTACCAAAAAAGTGCAAATAACGATATACAATAATTATTGCTTTGAGTCATCATAAGAAAAATGCAACACTCTGTGACTTTCCAACTCACAACAAACTTTTCACTGTATTAGGTGCCCCACAATTTTCTGTGACCAAATTTACCAAATGATGTTGACTACCCGAGTGTATACTGAGGTAGGTCAAAAATGCTATCTCACAGTCCTGCTGTGTATGACAAATATCTCAGGGTCACTGCATTTCTGATTATCTCATGTCTATTTTGTTCCTCTGTTCTCTTAGCAGCTTTTTGACGTCCTGCTATTCAGGGAGGTGAGAATTGCCTACAGATTTCTTCAAACAACCATAAAATGTCCCACTCCACTGTGATCAATATTTTACCTTTACATGTTGGGCCTAATGAATGAAGTGAATGAAATGACAACAAAAAAAGCACCAACATATTTTGGATCCTAAAACCCCTTTCATCAGGGCTCTAAAAAGAGATGATATTCACGGGGGATTGAGCTGCATCATCAGTCAAGTTATTTAACACTCTTTTTTTGGCTTACATACACATATAAATATCTATATTAGGCAATAGTCATCATCACTATTCCCATCTCTTTTTCTCATTATAGTTTTTGACTTCTATGAGGCTATCAAAATGTATATTGGTTGATGATACTTTGCATAAGTTTGTGAAATTTGCAGACTGTTTGAGATTTGTGTAAAAACTGCATTGCATTCCAGTTTAATTTAAATCTGAACAGATACATTGAGGACAATGAAAAAGATATATATATATATATATATATATATATATATATATATATGCCTGTATATATAAATATATAAATGTATATGTACTGTACTGTATGTATATATAAAAGATATGCTCTGAATCCCCCCCCCACCTAAGTGCAAGTCCAAAATCCAAGGCTTAGGCAGCAGGCTACAGAAAAAAGCTGTTTATCTCTGTGTAGGGAAGCAGATCACTTAAAGCATTCAGTCATGCCTCCTGCTGAGTCACAACCACAATTGGCCATCAAATAAAGCATTTGGCATTGAAAAAGTAGAATGCTATTAGGTGTCTGGATATTGGCTAGAGGCTTTGGATTTATGAGATTATTGTATTGGTGGAGGGAATGTTGAATGTCAAGGGCCCACTTTAGCGAGGTTAAGTATTATTATCAACAGAGGGAAGGTTAAATGTTAAGAGGCTGCTTTAGGGTAGGTTAAGTATTAAAGGCTCACTCTAGAGGTTAGGTCAAGTGTTAGCACTGTTAGTGAGTTTTATGAATCAGATTAAGGGTTAAAGAGACTCTGTTATGAACTTAGAAAATTTGCTGATAAAAAGCAAAAAATAATTTTAATGCTTACTTTTTTCTCTTCCCTAATTATTTTTTATTACGTTGCAATGTGCCTACTGCCATGACATAGCCCTATAATCTTCTTTGAGTGTCTATTTGCTCTTTGTGCTGGCCTAGCGTATCCACCCCTCCCTTTACCTTCCTACATAACCTATTATGTAGCCAGAGTGAGGAGAGATACATCAATTTAGTAAGAGCTTTGAGTCTTTTGGGGCTGCTGACATCATATTCAAGATGGTAGCACTCAGCAGCAGTCTTCAGTCTCAGTTTCACCCTTTTTAGTGACCAGAATGTGATTGGAAATCCACGTTTTGGCTAGATACACATTTTAGGTGTTACATAGTCGGGACTCATTTTGTAGGGAACAGGTGTCAATAGTGAGGTTAATCTGTTACTAAACTCACAACGATAAAATCAGTCTGTATATGCAGTAAAGCATGCTTGTTATACTCATTGTGGAACCTAAGGGGTTAATCATCTGCATTGTGTAAAAATGCTGTTTGATCTTGACTTCTCTAATCTTCCCATTCTTCCAGTGTCCCCCCTCTTATCGTCTGATAACTGATAAGATATATCATGTGGAGACACTCTTCATATGCTCAGGTTAGTGTGTATTGCTAGAGAGGTTTATTTTTTCATTGGGAGAGTGCATGTGATCAGCACAGGGCCAATCAGCACTGTCCAGACAGAGGTCAAGGTTTTTGCATCCTCCTAGAGCAGAAAGAAAGCTCCTCCCACAAGCTTTACCAGTGCTCTGCTGAACACTGACTGCTCTAACTTCTGATGAGAAAAGGTATTTAGCAGTTTATATTTACTAAAATAATTTCATTTCCATGTTGTGTGTACTGTGGGAGACCAGATAGAGCTAATGCAGGGGCCTGGGTTTAGTAACACTTTAAGTGTTAGGGGGATGCTTTATTCTAGGGTATATATTCTTTAATTCCTAAAGGACCTGCTTATCCTTAACCTGTTTTCTCAGATTTTTCCTATATTGTAAAGGAAAATCATTAGGCATACTTACTGCATATTTAGGTTTAGGCCTTTTGGCTTAATACAACAATTTGGCCTCTTCCCCACGACCCTCAACTATAGTTGTAGGAGTCTGTGGGCAGGGGCTTATTGGAATCTGGAAACTCCCAGATCCTGCCCCCCCCATGTGAAGAGTATGGGGTACATGGTACTGCTACTCATTCACAAAAAAAATAAGTGTAGTGTAAAAAATGACAGTAGACAGTCTTTGACAAGTTCTTTATTAAAACAACAAAAATTAAAAAATGTCCCTTGAAGTAGATCCAACATCAATCATGATGCCCACCACCACTGACCCCCCCCCCCCAAAAAAAGAAGCTCTGATCTTGACGCTGGCTCCCACCATGTAACAGCTCCGCCAGCCTGACAGTTCTTAAATGTCTAAGGGGCAGGGCCACTCGGTGATGTCGCCAGGGCATGCTGGGCAGATGATGTCACAAGTGGGCGCTCAAACAGATGCTGACTGGAGAAAACTATTTCCCTTTCATTTCTACTGCTCTAATACGCAGTGTGAAATATTTGTTATTGCTGTAGATCTATGTTCTTTCTGAGTGATGTGGTGGGTGGCACTGCTTCTGACAAGTGCAAACGATTGTCTGCCACAACTATCAAGAGACTGGTAACACACTTAAAACAATACACAAAAATGCCTAAAACAACATATGTAAAAGTGACACTAAACTAAATCCTTATTGTCCAAATGTAATCCATACACATACACTACTCAATAGCCTTGTAATCAATTTTTCATAAAATTATTTCTTACTACATTTTTCTGCCTTGTGTGTAGGGTCCTCTGTGGGCTTCTGAACTTCTCCTTTTCCCCTTCCCTTCCATTTGAGAAACAAGCAGTGCACGTTAGTTGCGGTCATGTGTACTGCTCTATACACACTACAAATCCCCTAGTTCATAGTCCAGAGTCTATAGTCCATCTCTGGAGCAAGCAAGCAAGTGTGGATATGTTGCTACATACAAATGGACCAAGGAGAACGAACATAGCCACTTTCAAACAGGAAGTTGGATCACAGCAGCAAAAGCAAAAGGTATGTAGAGATTTGGAGGAGGCTGAGAGCAAAAAAAGGTACTTTTTGAGTTTAGAATAGATACATGAATAGAAAATATGCCTTATATAAATCTTTAAACCAGAGTTTAGTGTCACTTTATTGTATACGTGGCAATGCATATACTAATGCACATTGTAAATGCATAAAAATAGAGACACACACAATCTTTTAGTTTTATTGTGAAGTTTCCTAATGACTGTTCAACCTGTCACAACTCAAATATTAATCACTAAAGGACACATTACTTACACTAAACCTGCAGGGTGAAAACCAAAAAACATAAGCTGGCTGTCTTCACACAAATTGGCTTTGGTCGTACCATTTATACGTGGCACAGGAAAAGATGTCCTTTGCATGTTGCCCTTTTTTTAATGTTCCAAGATTTTAAAAAAAGTCTTATTCAATGAGTGAGAGGCCCACAGTTTCTTAACTGCTTCCGACCACCCTATAGCAGAAATACTGCTACAGGGCAGCATGGTTCCGCAAAATCACATATATATATATATATGTGACTTTTAATTTCCTGGTATGGTGCCGCGGCTGCCAATCACCGGGTCCCGGGCGGTGATTACATATGGGCACCTGGCGGTTTCCGAGGATCTCCGATGGGGAGGAGAACTGTTTTATTTACTAACAGTTCTCCCTTTAAGCTCGGGCACACTCAGGGGCGGACTGACCATTTGGAAACTCGGGCACTGCCCGAGGGCCCGGGGTCAGTAGGGGGCCCCATGAGATGCCCCTGGTACCTTTTTCATAGGCTTTTCTGAGTTTGGGCAAGGACACAGGGGCCCCATAATCCCCTATTGCCCGGGGGCCCCATGAATTGTCAGTCCGCCCCTGGGCACACTGCTTTTGGTGGCTATGAACTACACAGCTATCCAAATCAGTGTGAGAACAGTGAATCACACTGACACAGCCCCCTAGTAAAACACTCCCAGCACACAGTTAACCCTTATGTTAACCCCTTCCTGCCCAGTGCCATTAGTACAGTGTCAGTGCTTTTTTTTAGCACTGATCACTGTATTGGTGTCACTGGGGATGTCAGTGACACCAATTCAATTCCCCCTAGTGTCAAAGTGTCCAATGCAGTACCACAGTCCTGCTATAAGTCACTGATTGCCACCATTACTAGTAACAATAAAAAATAAAAAATCCCAGTATATATACTGCCATTTGTAAACGCTATAACTTTCACATAAACCAATTAATGTACATGTATTGGGATTTTTTTTTAGCAAAGACATGTAGCAGAATACATTTTTGCCTAAATTTACAATGAAATTTGATTTTTTCAATATTTTTACAGGACATGTTTAATAACAAAAAGTCAAAAATATAGTTTTTTTCTCAAAATTCTTGGCCTTTGTTTTCTATAGCACAAAAAATAAAAAACGCACACACGATCAAATACCACCAAAAAAAAAGCTCAATTTGTGGGAAAACCTAGCATTAACATTAATTTTTTTTTTATATCTACAACCTTTTATAATAAAGCCTGCTGTCTACAGTCTGCTTATGTATTCCCCTCAAGTCTGAGTGTACCTTAACCTCAGAAATACTGAACTCTGAAAGAGTACATATGGATATATATGCTCTATATTGCCAACGTTTTGGGATGCCTGCCTTTACACACACATGAACTTTAATGGCATCCCAGTCTTAGTCCGTGGGGTTCAATATTGAGTTGGCCCACCCTTTACAGCTATGCCAGCTTCAACTCTTCTGGGAAGGCTGTCCACAAGGTTTAGGTGTGTCTATGGGAATGTTTAACCATTCTTCCAGAAGCACATTTGTGAGGTTATGCACTAATGTTGGATTAAAAGCCCTGGCTCGCAGCGTCCGCACTAATTCATCCCAAAGGTGTTCTATCGTGTTGAGGTCAGGACTCTGTGCAGGCCAGTTAAGTTCCTCACACCCCAAACCCGCTCATCCATGTGTTTATGGACCTTGCTTTGTGCACTGGTGCACAGTTATGTTGGAACAGGAGGGGGCCATCCTCAAACTGTTCCCACAAAGGTGGGAGCATGGAACTGTCCAAAATGTCTTGGTATGCTGACGCCTTGAGAGTTACCTTTTCTGAAACTAAGGGGCCAAGCCCAACCCCTGAAAAGTAATCCCATAATTCCCCCTCCACCAAACTTTACACTTGGCGCAATGCAGTCAGGAAAGTACTGTTCTCCTGGCAACCACCAAACCCAAACACGTCCATCAGATTGTCATACAGAGAAGCGTGATTCATAACTCCAGAGAACACTTTTCATTGCTCTGGAGTCCATTGGCGGAGTGCTTTACACCACTGTATCTAACAGTTTGCATTGCACTTGGTGATGTAAGGCTTGGATGCAGCTGCTTGGCCATGGACACCCATTCCATGAAGCTCTCTACACACTGTTATTGTACTAATCTTAAGGCCCACATGAACTTTGGAAGTTTAGCTACTGACTCTGCAGACATTTGGCAACTTCTGCACACTGACCCGGCTCTGCCATTTTACATGGCCTACCACTTTGTGGCTGAGTTGCTATTGTTCCCAGTTGCTTCCACTTTGTTATAATACCACTAACAGTTGACTGTGGAATATTTAGTAGCAAGGAAATTTCACGGATGGATTTAGTGTACATGTGGCAACCTATCACGGTACTACGCTTTAATTCACTGAGCTCCTGAGAGCGACCCATTCTTTCACAAATGTTTGTAGAAGCAGTCTGCATGCTTACGTGCCTAATTTTATACACCTTGGCCATGGAGGTGATTAGAACACCTGAATCCAAAAATTTGAAGGGGAGTCCCAATACTTATATAATTTCAATACTTATATAATTTCAATATACTTCAATATATTTAAATATATTTATCATTTCAGTTTTTTTTGCATTTAGAGCATTTAGAAGAATATACAAAAAGGATTAAAAAAAACATATTTAAATTATTCCATTTATGGAAGATGTCACTGTAGGAAGTGTGTACTGTATTAGCCAAGCATACTCTAAATAGCACTTGGCTGACAAAGGAATAAAAGATTAAATAGCAGGGTCACTGTAAATTCACAGCACCAGTAAACAATCCTGGGGTCTTGGCAACAGCATCTAAAAATATGTCTTCAAACAAAGAAAACAAATGTTGCCTATCAGCAATGAACTGAGGAGTAAAACACCATCTGAGCTTTTTTTTTTTTAACCAAGGCTACAATTAATTTGTCAGTGTGATCTTAAATCATGATCCCTTGCTTTTCAAAGTTGTATTTTAGCAGCAATTGAGCTAAAATGGAGAAACTACAAGCTTAATAGTCAACATTTTAGGTGTCCATAGTGTATGCAAATTGCTATACCTTTGCTTCTTTCCAGCGAAGGCATTCATAGTTTTTAATTTTTAATTTATTTATTTTTAAATGAATGCTCCAATTTACAGAATAAAAGGAAACGTATTTTGAGAGACTCAGACTGGGTTCACACCAATGCGGTGCGGGATACCACAAGTAATTCACATAGGAATTGCACCACACAGACGTTGCATTTAGTTCACACAAGAATGCGTTGCCATTCCTGTGTAAATTACATGCGGTATCCCACACCACATTAGTGTGAATCCAATCTGAGTCTTTCAAAATTCGTTTCCTTTTTATTTTTTAAATTGGAGCATTAGTTAACAAAAAATATGTTTGTATTTTGTATGACTCAAACCGCATTGCATCCGCACCAAAAAAGATGCAGGACCCTTTTTTTCTCACTTCTGAAATTTGCATCACGTTTTGCAATCTGTTTCAGGGTGTCATTAAGTCAGCATTGAAACCTGCACTAGATTGCAGGAACGCCATGTGCTTGCAATGCCCTGCAGGAAACGCACAGGATTCACAGCGTTTCCCTCACCGCATCAGTTTGAACCTGGTCTCAATGTGGCTAAGTTATTCGCACTTCATTTTTTTTTTTAGCTTGTGATAATTTTCACCTAAAATTTTTTTACTAAAAAATATAAATATTGCTTGGAGCGGAATTGCTATTGTTATCCATGAAATGGGCCATTAAGTGTTGAGCCTTAGTTTTACATTTCTACCCTCTTCACGTAAATTCACATTTCACAAATTTCAAGCCCCTGTCTACGCAAAGGACTAAATGTGGTTTAAAGTGCTAATAGATTTGTGTGTGTAAGGATTTGCACTTCTGCTAGGTTTTTATTGCTTTTTGTGACCCTGATGGGGAGACCTCTCCTTACTTTCAGGTTACCTGTCATCTGGACTAGGGAATCACTTTAATAGAAACATGTTTTACATGATGGTGATTGCTGTCTGTTCCACAATGGGGAGATTTTGCACTGTATGTCAGGATGTTATAAGGTGTTACTGGGATAAGCAGTGGTGGGAAATCTCTGAATATGTGAAGGAGAAAAGAATAAAAGAAGAATCAGACAAAAGGGAAAGGAAAATAAACCAATTTTAGGAAGCCATTTACATTCACTAAAATCCTGTAAACTTGAGAAGAAGCTCTAACCTTTTTTTATCCAAAAATAACACAAACTGAAGATTCAAACACATTAGGAAGAAAAAAATGTGGTTCCATCATTCTGAAAAGCAATAAGATGACATATTGAACAAGCGCAACAGCTAATCATGTCATTTGAAGTAGCAGAGAAGAATGTTCTTTTCTAAGAAGAGTGCATACATTTTAATATTTGAACATACGGATGAGAAGGCAAATCAATTCCAGGATCATCACTACGCTGTAAAATAACAGATTTTTATGTATAAATGTTTCTTGGAACTGAAGTAATCAATTCAGTTCAGAAAATGTGCAACATATAAATTGATTTGTTCATACTATACGTGCATTATTGTATTGTTTTTCTGTAACAGTGCTATTCTAAAATTGTACAGCAAAATCAGTGGATTAAAAACAACAACAGTAGTAGTATTTTATATGAGATTTTATGAAAACATAAATAAATGTAGTCCCATTGCTGGCACTGCTGGAAGTCCAGATAACTCCACACAGTGGGGTTTATTTACTAAAGCTGGAGAGTGCAAAATCAGACTCCCTTCTGCATAGAAACCAATCAGCTTCCAGGTTTCATTGCCAAAGCTTCATTGAACAAGCTGAGGTTAGAAGCTGATTGGTTTCTGTGTAGAAGGGAGTCTGATTTTGGACTCTCCAGCTTTATTAAATAAACCCCATTATGTCAGTCTTTGAAGTCTATGATAACTATCCTTCTCCAGGATAGACACTGGTTATATAGAAACTAAATCAGTACATATCCAGATGATGACCTCAGTTAATATTTGAGATCTTCTAATTTTCAATACATATATACAGTATGTCATAATTTTTTAAAATCCAAACAACTTTTATTGTCTAGAGAACAAAGAAAATGGAACAGCACTTACAGAATCCACAATGATATTACTGCATCAACAGGATTACACATAAATAGAACAATGTGGATACACAGATCCCGTAATGGACAGAATAACAGAAATGGTAATCAAACAAAACAGAGACCACGAGGATCCAAAACCTTCTTGACAATACTTTGCTTTTTCCTTTTTACCTTGTATTCCTTCCAGTCCAGATGTAAACATAAATGGGGGAAAGGAACAAAACCAAAACATGCCTTCAAACAAAAAAAAAAACCACATCAACAACATCTGGTTCACCCCGAGACATCTAGTCAGAAAAAATGGGGGATGCACATGATCTCCCCTAAGGGGAAGAGTGGAGCCACACACCTAATATCAAATGTAACACACGCAAAAGTCGGTGCAGTATCAATTGAGGAGGGGAGAGCCCAGGTGTATCTAGCCAACCCTGGCATACCTGCTGGAACTTGCTATAAGCATCGCGATGTTGGTACGTGAGTTTTTCCCACGGGAGTTACAAACTAACATAATCTATGCATTGCTTATTAGTCGGTGGAGCCGACGATAACCAGTACCTTGCTATCAAATTTTTAGCCAGATTTAAAAGTTTAGATACTATAATATACACTCCTGGTTGGTCCAGTGCCCCCAGCAAACATCCCAAGGGATTCTGGGGGACAGTATATTGTGATTCTAGAGAAATAAACTGGAGAACCTCACTCTTATTTCTATGTATTTTGGGGCAGCGCCAGCAGGGGCGTATTTGCCACGAGGCAAACAAGGCATTTGCCTAGGGCGGCACTTTTCAGGGGGCTGGCACGGCGGCAGTGCTGCCCCCCCTTTCCCACAGAAGGGACACTTCCATGGGAAAGGGACAGGGGCAGGGCTGAGGGTACAGCAAGGAGGGTCACCTGGGCCAAGGGAACCAGCTGCAGAGGAGAGTGGAGTGGTGGGTGGATCATCGGTGAGCGCTTGGAGCACTTGAGAGGCGAGACGCGCTGTGAGTGTGCTGGGATGTGCAGGAAGGTGCCAGCGAAGGAGGAAGCAGAAGAGGACGAGAGTCTGGGTGGAGGAGCCCACATGCTCTTTTGCAGCCGCCACCACCAGAGATCATGTCATTGACACCAATGAGGGGGCACTTTTCCTCCCACTGACACCAATGATGGGGCACTATTCCTCCCACTGACACCAATGATGGGGCACTATGACTCCCACTGACACCAATGATGGGGCACGTTTCCTCCCACTGACACCAATGATGGGGCACGATTCCTCACACTGACACTAATGATGGGGCACTTCCTCCCACTGATACCAATGATGGGGCACTATTCCTCCCACTGACACCAATGATGGGGCACTATTCCTCCCCCTGACACCAATGATGGGGCACGATTCCTCCCACTGACACCAATGATGGGGCACGATTCCTCCTACTGACACCAATGATGGGGCATGATTCTTCCCCCTGACACTAATGATGGAGTACTATTCCTCCCACTAATTCCAATGATGGGGCACTATTCCTCACACACTGACACTAATGATGGGCTCCTCCACCGCCGCCGCGACCACATGGAGGTTCGGCGGCCATCTTAAGAATTGCATATGGTCAGTGTTTTATGTTTCTTGTTACCTACATTCAATTTAATAAAAATACTTTGGAATACTGCACTATGGGCTTCCCTCTTTCTGGCTCCTTGTGAGCGGATACTGATACAGAGCCCATTCTGGAGAACGGCTTGAGGTGCTGCAGATTACCCAGGGAAAGGGGATACATCTCTCTTTGACCAGACCAAGCTGCTCATATCCTTAAGGGGACCTCCGGCAGACAACACCATATATATATATATTGTGACAGTAGGCAGGTGAGATCACCTGGTTGCGTCCTGGATGGACGATACATTTGTCCAAGGTTCAGACTTTATGGGGATTTGTTCCACTAGAGGGAAGTGCTGAGTCTTTCAGCACTGAGGCAATGAGCCCAGCTGAAGGTAGTGGGCTCATTAAGGCCATTATAAAACTTCCCAGCTTGCTTAGGGAGTTGCTCCAACCTTGAACCAGATCTATGCCTGAGCTGACTGGGGAGCAAACATCTTATCTGTGTGCAGGGAGACAAAAGCCTGTGTGGCTAGCCTCCAACTACTAGCAACTTGGTATAGCATCAGGCTGTACCTAGTGGGTAGCTAGGGAAAGCTGTTGGTACAGTAAATAGCCAAGTTGGCCAGGATTTAATTTGATATTTCTTTTTGGTTTGACATTTTCTGTACATTTTGTAAATAAACTGCACCTTTTTGTTTTTTCACCTCCACTGTTGTGCTGTGCCTGTCTTTTTGTGTTGTGCACCCATCCAGGGGGTCACAC